TACATAAGACTTTCCTCGCTTTGCTTGACAGTCCGAGCTTTGACAACAAAGCGTGAAACGTAGAAGGTATGCTACAATAAACGCTTTGACAGCTTTTGCGTTCTCCTTTTCCTCCATATTTTATATCTTTAAAATAGATAACAATATAATAATATGAATTAATATAGCAATAATAGTTCCTATTTAGCTTATTTTTGTCATTGAATGCAAATGCAAGCACACGTGAAAAGATACATGTAGACAGGTGATTGCCAAAGAGCGCAAAAGTTGAGAGTTGCCGATGATTTTGCTTCGCTTTGCTTTCCTCGCATTCTATTTAGCAAGACTCGTATAAAATCCAACCAACCAATCCAGACGTCCAATCGACATGCTTGAGGTATCGTTGGAAAGGTCTTGTAGAGTGTGTCCAGACAATGTATTCAAGTTTCATAGACGATTATCCGAATTCTCAAAAATTAGGCTAAAGTGTTGCGAATCAAAAAACGTTTTTTTGCTTTTTCCGGTTTTAGGGGGTATGAGGGTACACCCGACATATTTAGTGTTATTCTATAGGTCAATGCCTTTCAAACGATACCTTATATATTGAGTTCCGGCTACTAGTTGGAAATATATAGAGCTAAATGTGTTTTGGTTCGTGTCTCCACTACGAGATGCTTTGCGATGTGTGTAGCATCTGTACGTACCTTCATTTAATTTTTTTTTCAAACTTTCAGGAATTAGAGTACCAAAAAAACTAGGAAGGTTTTGTTCCAGGAAGTTTCGATTCGTATGCCTTTGTGGGCGTGGCTGGTGCCTGAAATTCGAAAAAAGGCACTTTTTTAAACTACCACTGAGGCCGCACTACTCATTCCATACCATTCATGTCGATATCAATAGAAGGGCCTTAAAACAGGCTATGTAATGCTGTCTTCTGCGTTTATGAAATATAAATATGTCATAACTTTATTGCCTAAAAACTAAAAATGGGGCTGCTGAAAATATAGATTTCGAGAATTTTCTCAAAAACTGGTCACTCGATTTTATTCTAAGTTTCCTCAAGTCTAGTTACATTAAGTTATATACATAACATATCCAATTTCCCGCAAAAGCTGTCCGTTCCCCGATGCCACCTAAACTGAAGTTCCCTGCAAATCGGGGGAATTTCCCGCAAGTTGATTTCCCTGTACGCGATACATAATTAAATAAATAAGAAATCTTTTTATTTTTGCTGGTTTCTTTGTTTTCTTGTACATAGGTAAGTATACATGTATGTACACATCGTGGGCGGGATATTTGATGTATACAGTATGCACTATACCCGCACTTAACCAACCTGTGAAGACGCTTACATTATTACCTACATGTATGAATGCATTTATTTCACTTTATGTGCCGCTACTAATTATGTATAGATTGCCACTGAGCAAAAATGCATCAGTAAGCAAGTAAGAAAGTCTAAGTTCGGGTGGAGCCGAACATTAAATACCCGGCGCAAGTATTAAATATATGTTTTTTCACCTTTCCGAAAGCTACCGCTAGATGGGTGTATCATTTTTGAGTAAATTAGCGTCCTTAAATTTCGAAATATTGCAGTTTCAAGCATTTCTGAAATTTACCTTTATATGAAAAGCGGCCGCAGTTTTAATCCGATTTCAATAATTTCCAACGTTTTGCTTTTATGTGGCAAGCACAATAAAAATACCGAGTTTGGTACAAATTAGTAGAACGGTTACCGATATGCATATATGTGATCATAAGTGGGCGGTGCCACGCCCATTTTCCAAAATTTTACCATGAGCGTATTTCTTGGTAAAGAATTGTTGCAAGCATTAATTTTGAATAAATTAGCTTTAATATTTACTGATTTATCGAAGATTTTGTATTTCTCTAAAGTACCGTTATATGGGATGTGGGCGTGGTTATTTCGGCCATTTGGTATACTGTATCAAGGCCAACAACTGTGCCAAGTTTGAAAGAAATTGGTGCAGCGGTTACCAAGATATACAAATGTAACCATAAGTGGGCGTGGCTACGCCCATTTTCCAAAAATTTATAATATTCTTCTTTTTCGTCTGAAAGTTATTGTAAATATCAATTTTGAGTGAATTATCTTCAGTAGTTACTAAAATATCGCAGTTTTCGTATTTCTGAAAATTACCGTTATATGGGAAGTGGGCGTGGTTACAGTCCGATTTCGCCTATTTTCAATACCAACCTACCTTGGATTAACGGAACCATACATATCAAATTTCGTTGAGATATCTAAATTTTTGCTCGAGTTATCGTGTACACGGACGGACGGACAGACGGACGGACGGACGGACAGACAGACATGGCTTAATCGATTTCTCTATTCATTCTGAGCATTTATGTATACATTTGTCTATATCTATCTCGATTCGTTTTGGCTGTTACAAACAACCGTTATGTGAACAAAATTAATATACACTTGTGCACAAGTGCGCTCGGGTATAGAAAGGCGAGTGCAGCACCGTACTCGTGATAGAAGTAAAACTCCTTAAAAAAACTTATATGTTGCAATGGAATTGAATTCCGTGTTAAATATTTGAATAAATCATTTAGATATAGATAGAGTTTTTAGCCATTTATTTGGGAAAAATAAAACATTTAGATTTTTGTTTGGATTTTCGTTGATTTTAAATTTGCTATCCCAAAACAATTGATATCAAATAAAACACCTCTTTGAGGTAAAATTTTCGAGTGACGAAAGCTGTACTAGAAACACAAAATTTATGATATCAATTTCGTGAAGGAAATTATACGCATTTTTTTAACTGCTTTGGAAACTGAGGCAAAATAATATTATTTATTCGGCGAAGTTCGGTCTATTCTTAGAAACACAACACAAAAAATCAGAACTTTAGCAACGTTCGTATAAATAATACTATTTTGCCTCAGTTTCCAAAGCAGTTAAAAAAATGCGTATAAATTTCTTCACGAAATTGATATCATAAATTTTGTGTTTCTAGTTCAGCTTTCGTCACTCGAAAATTTTACCTCAAAGGTGTTTTATTTGATAAATTTTTCTCGAAACAAGATTTGGTAACTATTACCATATCATGTGTTAAGAGAAACATATTCAGCAGAATTTTTTCTGAGTATATGGGCATCCTTGCTTGGCGTGGGTGATGACATAAATGGCTCTAATACCATTCATATGCATATAGCAAGGCACCCAGGGTCTTAAGCGAACAAATTATTAATTTTAACTCCACTTTATTATATTTCAGCTGCAGTCCAATTAACCTCCAAAGATATTTCTACGAATTTTGGGGATGAAGTATCCAAGAAACTCTTCCAATATAATTCCGACTAAAGAAAAAATCAAATTACAAGAAACACGGTGCCGGAAAAATCTAATATGTAAAAAAAAAATACTGTTTATTTATGTTGTTGAAAATTAAATACGGATTCATATTTTTAATAAATTTATTAATAACTCGTAATTTTCGCACATTTTTTACCTTTTGGTTATTTACCGTATTTTAAATCCTATAAAACTTGGGTCGAAAAAAATTACAATCTCAAGCCACCAGCGAGCTGAAATCTCGAGTGGAAAAATCAATAATTCAATAAAAATTATAGAATCTCCAACGATTCGAAAAATAAAGAATTATAGAATCTCCAACGAATAGAAAAATTAAAAAGAAAAAAGTTTGAAATTTGGGTGAAAATTTGTCGCGTTTTTTGTAGTCTTTTAAAAACTTTTAAACTTGGGTTTATGAGTTTTGTTATAGAATAAACTTTATTTTAATTGAAAATTCTTAAAAATAAATAAATAAGTATGAGTGGCAAACAATATCAATATGAAATGGGGGTGCTATTGTATTGGCCAATACTGTATGTACAATCCCAGGTTCTGAGTTCTCATTTTGGAAATTCGAAATAACGGTGCAGATCTGATGACCTTAAAATAATAGGTGGCAACCCCAACTAAAAATATAATTTTCATCATATGAGAGTAAAGTTTTTCTTAAACTCGTTTAACACTAATATTTCGATGTTTCATTTAACTTGTGTATAAATAGAACAAATTCGACTTTTCTAACAGGTGGCAAAGCCTTTAAAAAGTATTTTCAAACTAAAATATTTTTAGATCTTTTTCGTCAATACAGTTCAGAAATTAATTATTTTCAAACTCATTTTGATTCATGTCCATATTTCGACAATCCATTTATCTAATTAAATAATTTCAACTTAATTTTTTCAACAGGTGGCGAACCTCGTCAGAGACATTGAAAAAATACTAAATGTTCAAAGTATGGATTTCTTAAACTCGGTCGTTTAAAATACATATTTTAAAATTGCATATAATTGCAAAATAGGCGACAACCCTCTTCAAAACTATTTTCGAACCAAAATCTTCTATATCGATGTGATTGTGATAAATATTTCAAGTAACTGATGGATTAAGTTGAATTTCATTTTTTAAATGCTTGGCAACCCTGCTAAATATAGTTCAGAAATAAAGAGTTTAAACTCATTAAAGTAGATTGACAATAATATTTTTATAATTAATTTAACTAAATAGTTCGTATTTAACCTTCTATACTGATGGCAAACCTCAGACACAACAAAAATATTGTAAACTGTCAAACTAAAAATTTCTTAAAACTCTCCTATTTTATACCCACAACAATAAATGAATTTAATTCCACTTTTCAAACAGGTGGCAACCAGGAAGTAAGGATGGGATGCTTTCTCATGGTAGAAGTGTACTGGAAAACTTCCTGTAACGGGGGTTCTAGGGCTCTTCAACACGCACACGAGTTTTCAAGTTCGATAAATTTTACATTATTCAGAACAGATTTGGATATCGGGCCCTAACCGCCAAAAAGGTGTAACCGACATTGCTTTCAAAATTTTATTTTTGATGCAGAAGTTTATCTAGATTCTAGACGCTCTAGGAACATTTCTGCATAAAAAAATCAATTTAAAAAAATTTCGCTTAAATTTTAGGGTTAGGGCTCGATATGTATGTAAAGTTTTATGACACTTACCGTATCATATGTAAGACAACCAGCGGTTTTGGATTTAGAATTCTTTCGCCATTTCCTATATTCGGCTTTGATGACTGTAGTTTGACGTTTCCAATATTTGCCTTCTAATACAACAGCCTGAAATAAATGAAAATGCAAAAAATCAATTAGTACGTGCATAGACAAAAAATTGCTAGTACACACATTTCTAAATCTAATTTATATTTAATAAAATCCATACACTTTAAAAAACATAACACCATTTAATGTATAAGTACCAGGTTGCCCGAGCTTTGCTCGAAGTGCATATACTTTTTAATCTTTTCATGGTTTGAGTATCAACTACTGCTCGGATAGTTTTAAAAATAGTATTTTGGAATAGATTTAAAAACATTTGGCTTTTGATGACTTATAAAGCAAGTAAATTTCTTACTTTAAAAATTAGGTGGCAACCCTATATCTTGAGCGTATACGTACTATGTATGCATACAAAAAAAAATCTTATTGAAATTAACAAAATACAGTATTACAAAAAAACGGGGCAAACCTCATTGAAAATATTTTCCTACTAAAGCTCTTAAAAATATCTTTAATTTGATATCCATATGGCGATGTTTTAGCTAACTTTTTAGAATGGAAAATAAGTGGAAAACCTTCCACTAATATCCTAAGGGATATAAGTATTGCTTAGGAGTCTTATTTTATATGGCATTCGCACGAGGCGATTTTACAGGCAACAAAAGTTGAATACGAAGTTGAATGAGAAGTTGAAAGTGAAAATGTTGCCATCCCTATTCAGACGAGGCGATTTTCGATTCAACACGAATCGTTATTTACATTAAATGAAAATGAATTTAAATCGCAAAATTTTATCAATTGGCGTAAATTTGGTAAGCCAAGCGTTGGTAGAAGTGCTTTTAGCGAAGCTGAAAGATAAAATAAGAGTAAAAAAGTAAAAAAGAAAAAAAGTATGTATAAAGAACAGTGTTGGCATTTTTGGTACAATTGTACTTGTTTGATACAATTTCATTTACAATATACTTTCCTACTACGCAGTACTTTTTAGTACAATTTTGTAATGAATACTTAAAATATATAGCTCTGAAAATTCACAGCAAGAAATTTTTTTGTATTCCCTTTTTTTCGCCTGTTCGTATTTACCTTTGTAAGTTTTGAAAAATGGCTTGAACGAACCAGTATAATATAGCCTAGGCAAATTTTTAAAGAAACTTTTCGATACTAAGTTTTATTAAAACAAAATGTCGAAGTCAGCTTCATATAGAAACAAAGTCTTCGTTAGTTATAAGAAGAGATTTCCTTAAATATAATACCTTCACGTATTCACAAGATTTTACTATTCATTTTATTATTCTTTAATTTTAATTATCTGTTTATAAACTAAACAAACGTCAAGCTGTGAAGTTCTACTTTATTGTGCTCTGATTTTGGCTTTCTACTTACTAAGTTCATTGTGCTAATTCTGTGTTAAAGTAGTGATAAAACGTGCTTACGAGCATAAGATTGTGAAATAATTGAAGCTAACTGAAAGTTATTGGTTTTATATTAAAGTAAATTTAATTAAATTTCACTAGCATACATTCTAATTTTGCCGAGTCATTTGTTGCTATCATTGTTGTTGTATCCTTTGTAGTTAACTTTCATTTTGTCTTTGCACATTTGTTCTACTCTTTTTGTTTACTTCTTCTAGTAAGTCTTGTCACAGCTGTTTGCGTTGCGTTTATTAAGTGTCATAATTACAGTGATACTCAAACTGTTCGCTACACTTATTTAAAGCTATTTACATCAGCTCCTTAATTGTTATAATTTATTTTGTTTGTCTTTTATTAACGAGTGTATTACATAAATCTTTCAATATGAAGTGTGATCTTGATACTTGCCAAATTAAAAGCGATTCTGAACGCTACATATCGTGCTGGCTGTGTGATGGTATTTACCATCTGAAATGTGCTGGTTTGACGGGAAGAATTCTGGACGCTATTAATGATGGTGTAGTTGATTCCAAAGATTTTGTTTTTTATATATTTATTAAAAGTTAACAAAACTTAATTTATTTTTATGTTGTTAGCAATTCGAGAAAAGTTTGAATAATAAAAATTTTCTATTTGATTGACGAACCACAAAAATCACATGAATCTAAAATTTCCAAAATTACAAAGTTGAAATGAACACAGTACAATAAAAGGTAATAACACAAATACAAACCCTACAATACTCCCCCTTCTAGAGAATTAATGTTATATAAATTAAAAGTAACTCGTTTCTTATTTGATGTTGTGTTATTCATTGTATTAGTGTTTGTTTCTGGTATTAGTTCTGTTTCAATGATTGCTGGTTTTAGTCTGTCTATCGGAATTGTTTTAACCTCATTATCTACTTCAAGTGTGAAATATTTTTTGTTTTTTCAACAACCTTATAAGGTCCTTCGTATGGTTGTTGCAATGATCTTTTATTAATAACACGCATAAAAACAAATTTACAAGTCTCCAAATCCTTTGGTATATATACACCAGTATCAGAATTTTGATTATGCCTTAAATTTGATTTAACATTTTTAAAATGTTCCCGTAAATTACCTAAAACTTCAATTGGGGAAAATTTTTCTTCAGATGGAACAACAAGTTCACCGGGTAGGCGTAAATTTTGCCCAAAAACCATCTCAGATGATGTGGCTGAAATACTTTCTTTATACATCGATCGTAAACCAAGAAGTATTATCGGCAGCTCATCATACCAATTGTTGATTCGATTTCTAGCCATTATCGTAGCTTTTAACTGCCTGTGAAACCGTTCTACCATACCATTCCCTTGAGGATGATATGCAGAAGTTGTAACGTGATGACTACCAAGCAATTTTGTTAGTTCCGAAAACAATTTTGACATAAACTGAGTACCCTGATCTGTAGTGATTTTTAACGGTACCCCAAAACGTGAAACATATTCTCTAAAAAATTTATTTGCAACCACTGCCGCTGAAATGTCCTTTAATGCATATGCCTCGGGCCAACGCGTGAACCTGTCAACTATTGTAAAAATGTAACGATGTCCTTTCGATACAGGAAGAGGTCCAACAATATCTAAATGAATATGATCAAATCTACTTTTGGGAATCGGAATTTTAATTACTGGAGATTTTGTGTGACGATTAACCTTCGATTTTTGACAATTTATACATTCTTTTGACCAAATATTAATTTCTTTGTGCATTTTTGGCCAATAGTACTTTTTAATAATTAGACGACGTGTAGCTTTTGTACCAGGATGTGTAATGCCATGTAGCATATTAAACACTGTCTTGCGTAAACAATTTGGAACAAATGGCCTAGGATTCTCACCTGTCATTTCACACCAAATATTAAAATTTAAAAGTGGAATTTGAATTAATTTAAGGTAATGTGATGTGTCTCCAGATTTTAATGTGTTTAGTTCCTCGTCCTGTTCTTGTTCATTTTGTAAAACTTTGAAATTCAGTTCTGTACCCTTAATTGCATCAACTTCGAAAGCTCGAGATAATGTGTCAGCTATAATGTTCTCCTGTCCTTTAATATATCGTATGTCATTAGTAAATTGTGCAATGAATTCCATATGTCTAGTTTGTCTCGGACTACGTTCGGTTTTTGAACTCAAAGCATATATCAAAGGCTTGTGATCCGTAAAAACTGTAAATTGTCGTCCTTCTAAAAGATAGTGAAAATGTTTAATGTTCAAATAAATAGCTAGCAACTCCCTGTCAAATGCACTGTACTTAACTTCGGATGAAGAAAGTTTCTTAGAAAAGAAAGCTAGTGGCTCTGATTTGTTATCAAACGTTTGATGTATGACACCACCAATTGCCGTATTAGATGCATCCACATTTAAAGAGAGTTTGGCATCTTTGTTAAAATGATTTAACAATATCGTAGACGCAAACTTTTCTTTAATACATTCAAAGGCTTTATTTGTTGTGTCATCCCAAATTAAGGACTTGTCACGTTTCTTAGTTGTTCGATTGATTAAATCGTAGATAACTGCCGTAAACTCAGCTAATTTTGGTACATATCGATGGTAATAATTAACCATGCCTATAAATTTCTGCGCCTGTTTAATAGATTTAGGACGTTCAAAACTACGAATAGCTATCACTTTTTCATCAGAGGGTCTAATTCCTGCCCCAGAAATATTATGTCCTAAAAAGTCAACACTTGTTACACCGAAAGTACATTTACTTGGTTTGATATTTAACCCGTACTCTGTTAGGCGTTGGAAAAGTATACGGAGATCTTTAAAATGTTGTTCTTCATTTTCACTTGCAACCAATAGATCATCAATATATGTAAAAACAAAATCTAAACCACTAACTACTTCATTAATAAATCTTTGAAAAGTTTGCGCTGAATTTCTTAGTCCGAAAGGCATTCGTATAAATTCAAACATACCGAAAGGTGTCGTTATTGCAGTTTTATAGATATCCTCTTCTGCCATTGGAATTTGGTGGTAGGCCCTTACCAAATCTAATTTCGAAAATATATACTTATTTCTGAGATTCATGTTAAAATCTTGAATATGAGGTAAAGGATAACGGTCCGGTACAGTCACAACATTAAGTCTCCGAAAATCACCACAAGGACGCCAGTCATTCAGTTCTTTTTTAGGTACAAGATGCAGTGGAGATGCTACACAAGAGTTTGAAGGTCTACAAATCCCTGTCCTCACTAAAAAATCGAATTCAGTTTTGGCTACTTTAAACTTAATCGGATCCAAGCGCCTTGGCTTAGAGAATGGCAGATTTCCTTCAGTAAAAAGTCTGTGAACCGTAGAATGTTTAACCGGTTTCGAATAATCTGGTTCAGCGATCAAAGAAGGAAACTCCTTCAACAATCTTGTATACTTGTTCTCTACTACAAAAATTTTTGGAAGCGAAATGTTACAAACACATGAAACTGTGTTAACCGAAAGACTTGTTACTGGATCAACTAAACGTTTGCATTTCATGTCAATTAAGAGACCGTATTTGCAAAGAAAATCTGCACCAATAATAGGTTTCGCAATATCAGCTATGAGAAACGTAAATGGGAACTCGCGTCTTAAACCTAAATTTATATTTAAAATCTTTTTACCATACGTTGAAATCGTTGAACCAT